GCTAAATGTCTTCAAAGAAAAACAAGAAAGTCCAGTTGCCTCTTGAAAAAGCACCTTTGGGTAACCATCACCTGGATGACTGAGAATCTTCATAGACACCTCACAGGTGGGATTCTGATGACACTGATCCAAGAATAAAGATGTGGGCTGAAGTGGTAGATATGAGCAGACAGAAAACAGTGATTCTTTCGTCCACCAGATCAATGGTAGTTCATTGATCTGGTGTGCAGAACTTTAAAAGAATAACAGAGTTAGAAGGGACATTGAAGGCCTTCTAGTTCAACTCCTTGCTCAAGTAGGAGATCCTACACCATTCCAGACAAATGATCGTCCAATCTCCTCTTAAAAATCTCCAGGGTTGGAGCACCCACAGTTTCTGGAGGCAAATTGTTCCACTCATTGATTGTTCTCACTGTCATTTTTGCTTAGTTCTAGGTTGCTTCTGTCCTTGATTAGTTTCCATCCATTGCTTCTTGTCCTGCCTTCATATTGACCCTCCCCCTATTCTTTGTAGCAGCCTCTTAGATATTGGAAGTTTATTGGATATTGAATTTTGTGCCTATTAACTTCAACTCAAAGGCTAGCCACATCCGTTTTAATTAAACTGACTGCTATGGAATCAAATATACAACCCAAAGCAAATAATCAAGGATTACTGCAATGTTTATTAAGCAGCATTACTGAGAAAGGCTCCATAAAACAAAGGGATGCACTCTTATTTATATATCTCAGAAGGCAGGAGAGACTAATGCATTAGTCACAGATGCTGTACATACAGGTAAAGTATCTCAAGTTACTAGAGGTAATGGAACTCAGATTACTTCCTGCACCTGTTTTCCTTCAGGAACCAAAAGGAAAGCAATAAAACAGGGAGGAAAATATCTTCCTTAAATCAAGAAGAGGGGGAACTTTGGGAATACCAGACACCAAAAAGAAAATCATTTCCTGTTGCATCTTATTATTCTAATAAGATAAATGTTAGGCTTATATCTCTAAATATCAACTTGATCTAATTGATTCTATTCATTGAAGAACAGATTTTCCCCACACTGCCGTTGGCAGCATTTTTGACTAGAGTAGGAGCTGTGGTGGCGCAGTGGTTAGAATGCTGTACTGCAAGCAAACTCTGTCCTTAGCCAGGAGTTCGATCCTAACCGGCTCAAGGTTAACTCAGCTTTCCATCCTTCTAAGGCTGGTAAAATGAGGATCCAGTTTGTTGGGGGCAATACGTTGACTTTGTAAACTGCTCTATGGGGCGAAATGTAAGTCTAAGTGGTATGCTACTGCTAGACTGGGCAAGGTTCTTGGGAGTCATTCCTAAGCTACAAGGTTGACAGTGATTATCTACCTCCGTGGATCCGTTTGCTATCCACAAGAGGCTGCAGAAGCAGGAAAGTCTCTTGCAGGAGATGCAGCTCTGGGCAGTTGATCTGGGCAAGGCACATGGCAAAGTCAGCAGTCAGGCTCTCTATGCCAGTGGAAGTTGCTCTGCAGATGATCCAATTCATGTTCCCTGATGGGAAAAGAAGACAGTGGGAAGACATGCAGACAATGAGAACATCAAAAAAGTAAGGAGAGCAAGGAAGACCTATAGGAGGAAGTATCCAAAATCAAGGAGACCTTGACTAATACGGTCAGGATCCTAGGATGTAGCAAGGGAAAACAAACAAAAGCAAGTGGAAAATAGTCCACCTAGATAAAAGTATTTCTTTCTGATTCTAAAGAGAGACTTCCAATTAGTAGTCTCCCAAGTTATGCAGCAATACGGTTGGATGTAGTTCAGTGTATGCATTGCATACTGTACATTGCACTGTTTGACTTACTTGTGACTTGTTTAATCATTTATAATTATCTAGGTTATGCACAAAATGCTAAATCATAAACTGTATAAGCTTAAGCCAGACAAATCGCATCATACAAATAGCATGTTTGTGTGAAACTAGCCAATTAGGGTTTATTTAATAAGCCATATTTGTAGACCAGTATGATATGTGAATCAGGTTTTCATGAGTCTTCATGAATTTGTTGTCAAACAGCATTACATTTACATGAAAAATGCTCAAATAGGGCTGAATTATCTAGGCAGGTTGATCTATTTTACATCTATTTAGCAGTTTTCTGAACAAGGAATGCTAGGAAGGAGGCAATGTTAAACTACTTCTGAGACACCTTGCCAAAAAAAAACCAAACAAACATGCAGGGACTTGTTTAGGCAGTCTCTGAGAATCAGACACAATTTAAGTTATTGTTAAAAAGCAATGCTTTCGACAGTTCAACACATTTCGGATAAACTGGGGCTTCTTTAGGGACATTATAATTACTCACCCTCTTGATTTTTTGGAAGACTTGAAAACCTGGCTCTGCTAGTTGGCCTGGGGCTCCAATTGGGGAACATCACTATGGAGGTGGTTAATACATTAATAACAAATCCCACTTCCTTCTCTGCTCATCCTACTTTCTCCCTCCCCATCTTTTAGTTATAGTATATTCTTGGACTATGCTGCATTTTGTATTGCATATATGGTACTTCTGAAGAAATATAATGGGACATAGATTTTTTTTTCCCTTACAGGAAATTACCAGCCATCACCCCTTCTTTTCTTGAGTCATTATTTGCTCCTTGTTTGGTCTATCAAGGCAGTAAGCATTCACACAATGTGTAGGAAACTTTGTGGAGTGTAGGTCTTTTGGGCTTAAAATATCAGGAACTCTTACCCAAAACATCTCTTTGCAATTCCTCAAATAGACCTGCCTGTAGTAAATGGAAGGGCAGTTCACTCAATTTCCTCTGGTTTGTAACGATGCCGGAGAACCAGAGAGGTTGAGGAATCACCTGAATAAAAGAAATCAACATTTGACTTTGACTTTTCTAAAATCCACACTAATTTCTTATTTACAATGAATCAAATCAAGGCACACTTTACAACTATTAAGTATTGGTATAAGCAATGCAAATGACTGTTTTGTTACTTTCTTCTGACGGTGAGTTTATGTTGTCCTGTATCATGGTTTCAACCTTCAGCCTCCAAATTCTTTATTTTGAGGTGGCTCAGAGCTCCTTTATAAAGGTAAATATTAATTGCACATTTGTAGATGATGGCTAGCATCTTGTAAAATGGTGGGAAACAGATTAAAAATATAACATGTCCCCCCAAAAAATATTCAGATGTTTAAAAATGTAAAGAATAATCTTCCCAAAACAAAAACCCAGAAGAAAATCATAGAAAAACTCAGCTTTGTTTATAAAATGTATTGGCTGTCCATCTTACCTCAAAGTAACTTTGGGCGGCTTTCAATCATAAAAGATAAAAGCTATATAAACTTAAAACATAAATCAGTTAACACAAAAAGCCAAACTCTATGCAGCCTAATGAAATGCTGGGGAGGGCAGGAGCAGGATGGGGTGGAGGTTTAATCTATTAATCACATCCACTGTGATGCTCCTCCATTACTTATGTGCAAGATACAGGTGCCAAAGATTTGAATCTCCAAGTTATCTTGAATTCCTCTTAAAAAGAAATAAAATGCCCTCTGCACCCTCAAATGTTCCCCACCTCTATTCCCTATAACTCCTGTCTTGATTTATTCCACTTCATTATTTTATCTGAGAATAAAGCCCACCAAACTCTTTTTGGGCATAATTCCGAGTAAAATTTATGACGCTGCCCTACAATATCTCCTCTGATTTCATCTCTCTCCAATCTTTGTTGGCATTACAATTCCCAAAATTATGGCTGATAAAATACGGAAAGAAGCTCCAGTCATACAATTTCTACCAAACCCAACAAAACCAAGCCATTTTCCAGAAAAATTGAGCTAACATTGACATTGTTTTCCATAACCTTTACTGGATTTCTCTTCCTTCTTCTCCGGGAAGAAGTGCTCCCAGGAAGTACTGCTGTCTTGGGTCTCCCAACCATCATCTCTCCAACCATCCATCCATCCATCCATCCATCCATCCATCCATCCATCCATCCATCCATCCTCTTCTTCCTCAGTTTCCAGAAGTTCACCTTCCTATCAAAGCTCACAGGCTTGTTGGAGGAGGGCAGCTGGATGGGTTTCTTCATGCCCCAGCTCCAAGTTCCCCTGAAGTAATCTGCCAGGAGCAGGTGACGCTTGGTCCTTTCCTCTGGCACAGACAGGTAGCGTTGCTCCACAGCATCAGCCAACTCCCTGCATGGAGGAAGAGATCCATCAAAGCTGACAGCTGCTTTTTCACCACCTTAGCAGCCTTGGAAAAAAATGGATGAGAACTGACCTGTGGGCAAAATCCATCAGCGCAAAGCCATCCGCCCACCGGTCCTCCAGCCACTGGGCCAGGTCCTGGTATAAGTGAGCCCATAGTAGGGGTGGAAAGCGGAGGGTTGCCTTGCTTGGAGGAGGATGAAGCCAATAAATCTCAGCGAGAACCTCATTGTCGAGGGACAAGATATCTTTTTGCTCTGCTTCTGAGAGCCCATGTCTGTGGAAAGGGCAGAGGGAGAAGCAGACAGGCAGGCCTCTGTTATTCCTTTCTTTCCTTGGCAGATCACTGAGGAGGGGAATGGGCAGATTGCTAAAAATAATTCTTTCTTAGTGCCCTTCTTTATAATGACTACAGATAGTCCTTGACTTACAACCATGTTCAAAATCATAGTCTAAGTGCCAGAGTCCACTGTAACAACATAGCCAAAAAGGCATTAAGAGTTGTTAACCTAATCCTGCATAGCTTTTTCCTCGGTAATATTGTACTACTGACTAGAGCATACAAAACATTTGCTAGACCAATTGTGAATACAGCTCATCTGTCTGCAATCCGCATTGCATATCGGACATTGATACAATCGAGAGAGTCCAGAGTTATTTCACAAGAAGAGTCCTCCACTCCTCTACTCGCAACAGAATACCTTATGCCACCAGACTTGAAAATTTAGGCTTAAACAATTTAGAACTACGCCGCCTTCGGTCCAACCTAAGTGTGGTACACAAAATTATCCATTGCAAAGCCCTACCCGTCAGTGACTTTTTCAGCTTCAACCACAACAATACATGAGCTCACAATAGATACAAACTCAAGGTAAACAGCACCAAACTTGATTGCAGGAAATACGACTTCAGCAACAGAGTGGTCAATGCCTGGAATACTCTACCGGACTCTGTGGTTTCTTCCCCAAACCCCAAAAACTTTAACCTTAGACTCTCAACTGTTGACCTCACCCCATTCCTAAGAGGTCTGTAAGGGGTGTGCATAAGCGCACCAACGTGCCTACCATCCCTGTCCTAATGTTCCCTTTTATTCATATCCATTTCATGTATTAATAATCATGTGTATACTTATATTTGTTACCTAATACATGCTCAGCAAATAAATAAATAAATAAATAAATTGTAAGGGCCTCAAAAAAGCGAATGAGACAACTTGCCACAGCCAACGTACAACCTGGTCCCTCACACTAACTACCATTGCAATATCCCTATGATCACATGATCAAAATTTGGCACTTGGCAAACAGCATGTATTTATGAATGGTTGTAGCATCCCGGGGTCATGTGATCTCCATTTGCAACATTCCCAGATAGCTTCCAACAAGTAAAGTCAACAGGGGATTTGCTTAATGATTACATGATTCACTTAACAACTGCAGTGATTCATTTACTGACTGCAGCAAAAAAAGGTTGCAAAATCAGGCACAACATGCTTAACAACTTCCTCGCTTAGCAGCAGAAATGCTGGTTCTGATTGTGGTTGTAAGCTGAGGACTACCTGGACTTGTTTTGAGGTATCTCTACCATAGAACTCCAAGTGATTGATTGGGTAACAAACAAAGGCTTGCTGGAAGAAAATTGTTTTCTAGCTTTCTCCTTGTCTGGTATTGATGAAGACTTTAAATATATTGTAAGTAGGATGGATAGGATAGAGATAGATAGATAGATAGATAGATAGATAGATAGATAGATAGATAGATAGATAGATAGATATAGATAGATGATAGATAGATAGATAGATAGATAGATAGATAGATAGATAGATAGATAGATAGATAGATTCCAATAGATGATAGATGTAGACAAAGACACATAGACATAGATAGATATTCTAAATGTAACTGAGGTGGAACATGTGAATTTTTAATGTTCTCCACTGAAGTGAAGAAAAATTGGATGAACAATTCATCTCAGGTTGCCTGGGGAAATTCTTGGATAGTTTCTTAATTCTAGGACCCTATAGAAGAGACTATAGAGAGCAATGTCCTCAATAGCTGCCCAGAGTCATTTTGGATAGTGAGATGGGATAATAAACAAACAAACAAATACTACCTTCCCTTGGGATTTAATGGAAGTATGAAACACAAAGGAAGGTTGGAAACTAATGGCAAGAAATTGGACAGTGATAAATAGGATGTACTGTATAACCTTCCAAACTTTTATCATTAAACAAAATGCTAAAAGTCACTATATCCCACCCCTGTGGATTTTATCTGGAATTCTGTTTTCCCTCCATAGAACTTGGTCAATTTTATCAAGCTACCACTAACACTCCCCTTTATTGTCAATTGTATCCTTCTATTTCAGGGTTGTCAAACTCGCAACCCATGGGCCGGATGCATCACGCACTGGCCACACCCATGCCCAGTTTAGCGAAAGAGAAAAAAGTCCCAATACGTCACGTGATGCTGCCGTGATGCTGTGAGTTTGACAGCCCCGTTCTAGTTTGACTTCTGCCAATGGCGACACAAGTATTTGTACTCACCGGGCACAGGAAAGATAGCCAAGTACATGTGCTACTAAGACAGAGCCATGCACCATCTCCAGGTGGTCACACAAGCGATGCGCAAACTCCGAGACTGTAGATGATATGGCTGGTGCTGCAAGTTGAACGTATGAAGTCCAACGCTGGGCTTGTCTTATGGCCAGGGCTACTGACAGAGCATACCCACCTTTTGCAAAGCTTTGCAGGAACAACTCTTGCTGGGTGGGCCTTAGTGTACGGCCTGTGGATGCCAAAGTTTTGGAGAGAATTGCCCCCACTTGCTCTTGAGAAAGAGGCCCCATCTCAAAATAATCCTCTGAAGCCCCAGTCATCTTCTCTAGAACTTCACTTTCTTTCTGCAGCATAGTAAGAATCATGTGTGTCTTTGGAAGACATATTTTTGGCAACCAGAAAGCTCTGTGAGCATTTCTAGGTGTGTGTAGCTGCTCCATTGAATCAAGGAGTAGGACAAAGGACCGGGTGCCCTGGCAAGAAGCTGAAGAAAGCAGGTGGTGGAAGAGCAGGCCTGGATTGCCAACTGGCTTGGTATAAGGGAGGCCCATAGCTAAGCAAACTTGTTGGCAGAGGCTGTGAAGAAGGCTGTTAGGTGTGGAACTATCCTGTGAAGTTCCCAGCAAACGAAGGATCACCAGCGTTTCCTGATCCAAGGTGGTTTGTATGGCTTCACCTAAATGGTACAACAGGGCTGTTTTGCCACATCCTGAGGGTCCATAGATGACAAGTGGGGAATGGGCCTGATGGTGGTTCAGTTTAATGCGTTGGCAAATGAGACCCAGCAGGTCCTGCTGCCAGCAGAAACCCTGGCTGTGTTTTTGACCAAGGGCCATGTGATGAGTGAGCTCTCGAATCAGCTCAGGTGGCTTCCCAAGATTTTGTTCTTGGAATCTCAGGCTCCTGAGCACATGATGGTTGGTGGCAGCAATAAATTGGTCGCAGAAATCCTTCAAATACTTGGGCCAGGGCTTCTGCCGGAAAGACCTGGGTTCTACCTCAGGTGGAATCCTGTGAACCTTAATCAGCTCAGGATACCTGCTTACGATGCTTGCCTTCAGATCTGCTAACTGTTGTGGTTCTTCAGGGTGCAGCTCATCTCCAACATCATCTGTGCCCAGTAGTGAGTCCGCTCTATCTGATATGGGCATGTCCACTTCTGTGAAGAATATCATGGTACTTTGGCCATCACATTCACCTGATCTGAAGAGGCCAGCCTCAATCTCCTGAAATATCTCTATAAAAGATTGAGAAGAGATGAATATGGAATTCAGAAGGGGAATCACATAGGCCAAAGCAACTACTAGAATTAAGGACGCCCTGGACAAGATTTGCAGTGGCTGATGTAGAACCACAGTGAAGTTGGTTTAGCTGCTCTCTGCAAGACTTGTCTTCTCTTCTCGTTGAAACTCCTCTTTCGCTTGCCCTTGCCCCAGTCTTTTAGTTCCTATCAACACGATCCATCTTTTGTCAGCAGCCACATTTACCTAACTTGCCAGTGGGAGGTTTCAGTGAAAAGCTGAAGGACAGGTTGCTTTCTGTGTATGAAGATCACTCACCAAGTGAGTATACATTGGTGGTGATGGCAGCTAGCTTTTCCTTCCCTGCTTCCACTGTTTAATTGCTTTAATAGCAGCAGTCCACCAAGGAAGTCCCATTCTTGGCAGCTGCAGTGGTTTATTAGGAGAGAGGGGGTATAAAGACAGGTAGTCATCAACAGTCATGATGGAGACCAGTACTTCTATTGCTAAGCAATGTTAAGTGAGATGTGGCTGATTTTACAAATCTTTTTGACATAATTGTTAAGTGAATCACACAGTGGTTGGGGAAATCTGGCTTTCCCCATTGACTTGGCTTGTTGGAAGCCCCTTGGGAGGGATGCAAAGGGCAATCCCATGACTCAAGGTGCTGCAGCCATTGTATATACATGCTGGTGCTGGTTGCCAAGCACCCAGATTTTGATCATGTGACTGAAGACACTGAGAGAGTGTGAGGACCAGTCATAGGTCACGTTTTTCAGTGTCATTGTAACTTCGAACAAATTAAACAAAAGTTTATAAGTTGAGGACTACCTGTGCATTTTTTAAGGCTCAAGAATGAGACACCAAGCTTCTATGATGAAACCTGGAAGTTTAAAATATCTAGATAATATGGTTCTACTTTTGCAACTTTTAGTGGGCATTTAACAAAGCAAAAATAATGGCTTCATAAAAGGATGATGGCTTTGCAGCTAAGAAGCTTTTCCATGCATGTCTAAAAATGAGGACTGTGGATGTCCTGTGAATTTATTTGTTATTCTTCTTTTGCCTGTGAGAAAGAAGGAAGCACGGGGAATGTTTTTACAATGTGCTTAGCCATAGCTCAGAGTGGGACACTGACTAAGTTACATTTTCTGTGTTTTCCTGTTGGCTCAAAGTGATCTCTGATTGTTGCTTGTGTTTTGAAAGCAATAGGGATGAAAATAATTACAAGATGATTTCAAAGTCCTTCTGAAGGGTAGGGGAATGATAACAATGGCAACATAGAAGTGCTGTCATTTTGTCCAAAGGAAAGAAAAGATGTGAAGCAACAGGAAGGACATTTGCTACATAACAAAATAAAATAAAAGAGGAAAAGACAGATGGGGACTGATATTAGGGAATCTTTAAATGTCGTGGATCCATGTGGGTTTAGGACAACTTGGTGTGTCCAGCTCACCACCACCAAGTCACCACGGTCAACTCACCACCAAGTCATCGCAAGACAACTCAACTCGTCCAATTCGCCACAAAGACAACGCACCAAGGGCAGCTGGAGGGATAGCCAGGCAGAATGGCAGCCAGGGGTTTCCCACCAGAGAGAGAGCCAGGCTGACTGGCAAGTGAGTGGGTGGACATAGTGCAGAGCAGCCGTGGTGGTCAGGGGCTTCTCATTTTCAAACCCCTGCCACTGCTACTACCACCACTGTAGCAAGCTCTGGGCCATTTGCAGTTCAATTCGTTCAATGGCTGCAATGATGTTTGGGCCGTTCATAGCTCTGGCTGGTGGGGCAGGTGGCGGGGAGGTGATGGAGGCTGGACATGTCCCGTTTTCACAGATCCCCACTGCTGCCATGGGCTGTTTGGCAGTGGTGGGGTTCATGCTGTTTGGCAGCAGTGATGATGTGCAAGGGTGGGTAGTGGGGAAGCACAGAGACTGGACATGTCCCATTTTCACACCCACACTGCTGTTGCCAGTGAACAGCCTGAACATCGCCACTGCCAAGATGCCCACAGAGCAACGGTGAGTATGAAAATGGGACGTGTCTGAATGGCCCGAACACCACCACCACTGCCGAATGGACCAAACTCCAAGTGGCCCAGAGTCTAGACTTATATGGAAAACCATCTATTTTGTTCAAATGGTACCTTAGGGTCCCAGCAAGGCATGCCAGAGGGAGACCCTTTATCTGAGAAGCATACCTGACTTGTGGTAATTCTGCAATTGCTCCCGGCTGATGAGCCCATACTTTTCTGCTTGGCAGGCGGCCCTACGGAGGATCAAGAGCAAGTCTTCCTCCGCGCCATCTGGGTTTGCCTGAGATGATTGTTGCAGAACATACACGGGAGGAATGGCGTTCTCATCCTTCAGGTACCTTTGGGCCAGAAGCTGTAAGGTCTTGGGCTCTTCCAGGAGTTGTGCTCTAATGGCCTCAAATTCCTGTTCCACAATGGTCAGAGGAGCGGAGCAGTGGCCGTAATCGTTTCCAAGCAGTGCCTGTAGCAAATAAGTTTTCTTAGTAATTCTTCTAAAGGTATAAGCTGGGATGATCTGAAAATCCAGGTTGCACCAAGGAGCTTTCTGGTCTCCATTGGGAACTTGTATGAGAAACTCCTTCTGGACTACTCCATATTCATAGCTGGAATCCTTTTGCATTGTTTCTCCCTTCCTCCTGTTCCAGATAGGAATCTCAACTGAATCCTCACAAAATGGGCCCTATGCTACAGGTAATCCTCAACCACAGTTGAGCCCAAAATTTCTCTAGCTAAGTGAGACACAACCCTGATGCGGCCCTCAATGAAAATGAGTTTGACACCCCTGCTGTACAGGTAGCTCTTGACCTATGATCACAATTGGGATCAGGATTTCTGTTGCTAAGCAAGAGATTGTGAAGTGAGAACGGCTTGCCCTCGGAAGTTGTGGGAGCGCCATCACTTAAGACCTTCAAGAAGAGATTGGACTGCCATTTGTCAGAAATGGTGTAGGGTCTCCTGCTTGGGCGGGGGGGTTGGACTAGATGACATATAAGGTCCCTTCCAACTCTGATTATCTGTTATCTGAGTCTGTGGTTGTTAGGTAAATACAGCTTCTCCCTTGGACTTGGCTTGTCAGAAGCCGGTTGGAAGGTGGCAGATGGCGATCCCATGACTCTAGGATTCTGCAACCATCATAATGAACACATTCCAGTGGCCAAATGCCCAAATGTTGTTAGTATGACCGTGGTGATGCTGTGACACACATAAGTGCTAGAGTTGGGCTTAAGTCAATTTGTTTCCAGTATTGTTCTAATTTTGAATGGTCAGCAAATGAATGATTGTAAGTCAAGGACTACCTGAGCCATCCTCCTCCGTACCTACAATGTAAGAAGCAAAATAGCAGCAGTGTTATCTCTGATCATTCTTTGGCCCAGCAACTTCCATAGGCAGAAGGAATAAAATAAAGGTAGTACTTACAATGAAGCTGGAACTCACTGAAAGTTTCTGGCAGCGTTTGATTTCTTCTAAAGAGAGTTGCGTAGACATATGGAGAGTCTCCATCTGATCAAAGGTGCCCCATCTTAAATCAATAACCTAGAGTAGATTTTGGGATGGATCATAGAGCCGACTGGCAGACAACTTCATCTGGAAACATTTGTCCCCATTTTCATTAAATTAGATACAGTATATGCTATTACACAGTTAAAGGGTCAGGTGATTACCAGAGATTGGCACGTTTGCAAGATAACAAACATTTCTTTGAAGAGCCTTGGTGGTGCAGTGGTTAGAATGCAGTACTGCAGGCTGCTACTACTGACTGCTGGCTGCCTGCAATTTGGCACTTCAAATCTCACCAGGCTCAAGGTTGACTCAGCCTTCCATCCTTCCGAGGTGGGTAAAATAAGGACCCAGATTATTGAGGGGAATAGGTTGACTCTGTAAACTTCTTAGAGAGGGCTATAAAGCACTGTGAAGCAGTATATAAGTGCTATTGCTATTCTTCCAATTTTCTGTTCAGAGAAGGAAGATGCACTGTGATTTGTCAATTAGACCTCTTTGTATAAATCTGTTAGATCATGGAAGAAGAAGAAGGATGTACAAATGAAATTAACCACAACATTTTCAAGCATTGTTCAAATTAATTATACTGTTTTGATTCTTTTGACTATTGTGTTGTGAACATAAACATATGTTCACACAAATTGCACAGGGATAAATCAAGAATGATAGTCTGACCCAACAGAAATTTTGGGAACTCACATGGCAGCGGGAGCTATCTTTAATGTCTTAGTAAGATTGCACTAACTCTGAACACAAGAGATTCATCTTTTTCACTATCATCATAGTTATTACTTACCAAAGAATAAATTTTCACAAATGCACTAATAAAACCCACAATTCTGGAGAACCCCAACCATAACAAACAACTCTCCAAGTTGAAAGCCAGTGTTTTGGACTTCCAGCTTACACTGGAATTTTGGTGTTTGCTGATCTTGATGCCTTTCTTGCAAAGTTTCATTACCAAACGTAGTAACATCAATGCTTTGTTACAAGAGTTGGCTTAAAAGATGTTGTAGTGAAACGTTTCCCAGATAAAAAAAGAACACAGGCTCAATGAACACCAAGTTTCCTATATTTCAATAAGCTGCAAATGTTCTCTACAACTGCTACTTCCAGCTTACCTCAAACATCAAGCCATGCTTTTGGCAGAAAACTTGCACTTCTGGATATGCCATCTCCATCAAGGCTTCCCTTTCTGCTGCCAGGTCTGCAAGGAAGAATTAGGCCCTTTGTTGACAAACATTGGACATCATCTCTTGGAATGGCAATCCCATTGTTCACTCTTGATCACATAATGCTGATACCGTCTCATCCCCAGTCCGTGACTTAAACAGTGCTTCATGATTCTTTATACACTGCAAAAGATCTAGCTTCTTCTACTGTCAGAGAACTGTAAACAGCACATGAATTTTTTTTATTATGCCCTATGGTATTATTTTCAAGGAAATGTATTCATATGGATACTCCAGGCATAGATTTCTGAGGAAAATGTCTGTATTTTAGCAAGAAGGGTGAGAAACAATGCCAATAGTTCTTCATCAACAGCACCCTAAAATTATCTGTCCCATAGCAGTAAGGACAATATATTTTATTAGACTCCAAGCTTGAGGGTCATCTCAAAGGCATGCCACTTTTCTGCTAGGCTATTATATCAATGTAGCAATATGTGAATTACTATTACTATTACTACTAGTATAGGTAGTCCTTGATTTACAATCATTCGTTTAATAACCATTCAAAGTTACAATGGCACTGGAAAAAAGTGACTTAGAACTGGTCCTTGAAAACTGGAAGAACATTTCACAAGGACTATTTGAGTGGCTACACAACTTATTTAACATCCCAACACTAATATCACATTAGGGATTAAAAAGAAGTTTGAGTTGTACCCCCATTGGATTATTTCTCTTACCCATTTGATTAGCAATGGGGATCCAGTTTCTCACACAAGAGATCTTCCCTATCCCTTATTATCTAATCCTGAAAACAGAATAACAGAGTTGGAAGGGACCTTAGAGGTCCCCTAGTCCAGTCCTTGCTCAGGCAGCAGAGCCAGTAGTGGGATTCAGCTGATTCGCACTGGTTTGGGCAAACTGGTTGTTAAATTACCCACCCACCCTCGCTATCAAAATGGATCCTAGGCGCTGTGCTGTGCTGCAATGGAGAAATGGGCAACGGAGCAGCCGGCATGAGGGAAGGAGAAGGCCGCTTTCCCTCTTTCTTCTCCTTGCTCCTCCTCCTTGCCCATTTCTCCATAGCAGCACAGCACCCAGGATCCACTTTGATAGCAGGGGTGGGTGTGGTAATTTAACAACTATTTCGCCCAGGGTCAGGTTGATTGTTGCAGGAAGTTCATCCCACATGTGGCGGAGCTGGAGGATGAGGATGGGCCACGCCTCCCACAACAGCCAACCTGACCCTGAGCGAGCCATTGTTAAATTATTTTAATCCTACCACTGAGGAGGATCCTATACCATTCCAGACAAATGGTTGTCCAATCTCTTCTTAAAAACCTCCAGTGATGGAGCACTCAGGTAATGGAGTGAAACTGCTCCACTGGTTAATTGGTCCCACTGTCAGAAAAAGTCTCGATATTTCTAGGTTGTTCTGTCCTTGATTAGTTTCCATGATTTTTTGTTTAATGATTTAATCTGTGTTTTTTTTTTCAGGTACAGTCACTTTGCCATCATTAATCACCTATTAGCATTCTCATACTATACAGCTCCTTCTGTATTTTTTTTTTTTTAAAGTTTCACTGCTTGGATAAACTGAGGCAAATTTTGTGGGTTGTTATTCCTCTTCCCTTGTCAAGCTGGAAGTTAGTCAGATCTTGGCTTAGGCAGTTGGAATTTTGCACAGCATATTCATAGAAGCCAGCTGCTTACTGAATCATCCTCTGAATACAATATTGTCAGGTTCTAGGCCCATCTGGCTGGAGCAATGTGCAAATTGATTCATTAACATTTTGAGTCTTTTAAGGGAACATAGAAATTCAGGTTCAAGGGAGGAAGTTAGTGGATTTGGTAATTGAACTCTGATCACATGATCATAGGGATGCTGCAAAGGTCACAACTGTGGAAAATGCTCATAAGTCACCTTTTTCACCTTTTTGAATTGTCATAAACTAATGGTTGTAAGTTGTGCCCTACCTCTATGAAGGGAGAGCTGATGTGACAGACTGCAGTACTGCAGCAGGTTCCCAGGAAGGAGGAAGCACATTGCAAGGAGGGAGAAAGGACAACACTGTCCAGAGATGGATCATGGGAAGAGGAAGAGATTGAGTATAGACTCTCAGGGTATATCTGTTGACATGGGGTAAAATGTAAAATCCACCTTGTCAATCCATCTCGCCTCTGCCATAAACAATCCTCTTCAGTCAATTTCTCTTTCCTTTCATAATCTATGTTGCAAAAATGAGGACAGTTCTCCCTGCTTGATCTACAACATGGCTGATTTTGTGATGTGGCTGGATGGCAATACAGAGTGATAACTGATGAAATTCGGTTTAAACCAGGTGTATCCAACCTTGGCCACTTTAACACATAGACTTCAACTCCCAGAATTCTCCAAACAGCCATCTTGGGTGGGGAATTCAGGGAGCTGAAGTCCACAAGTCTTAAAATTGCCAAGGTTGGACACCCATGGCTTAAATCATGCCATTGAGTAAATATGTTTCCTGAATTGGACAGATAATTAAAACTATAAAAATGCAAATGCTTGTAAGTGCAATACTTGCAGCCACCTACATTCTTAAACACACACACACACACACACACACATCAGAGCAAAATGCTTTTTCTGATATCCTGACATGCACAAGTCCCATTTAAAATAGCAAAAAGAAAGACAGGCTTCATGATTCAGAAATAATACATGCAATTGTGCAACCATATGCAGATTGGCTGAATCAGCTAAAACAGACAACTGATTTACATTTTAAATTAAGTTGCTTAGTGTTTAAAATGTTATAGGATGCTCAGTCAGAATAAATTCACTTCATTATCTCTAAAGTGCCATCTCTAGCACTTTCTATCTCCAGCCTGCACTCATATTATCTACTTCATCTGCAGACCTTCTAGGAGGAAAGCCTTGTTGGTTATGGCAGCCCCAAATCAGAAGGCATTTGAAAACCCCCAACAACTTTTATTAAAAGCAATAAGCTTATCAGGAACTAGCTTGAGTTCAGTGCTACTGGATCCCTTCTGTTTTCTCCATTTCCTACAGATCAGATCAGATCAGATCAAACCAAATCAAGGGAGCTGTAGCATGCTGTTAGTCCAGTTTCCCTGTCTTTTCCCAGTCTCATTAATAGCTTAGTTACCTGGAGTTGAACTCAGGAAGATTCTGAGGAGATTGGGGGGCCAGCGGTTCTTCCCCTGAAGAAGGTCCTGGAGGGAATCTATCTGGTGGCTCATGCTGAATTCTGCTTGAGTTGGCAACTGGCTGCTTTCTTCTTCCACAAGAAGCAAAGTTTTCTCCAGACACCACCAATCAATGTGAGTAAAACTTAACTTGCTTCAGAAGAATGAAATCAAACTGCTAAGAAGGTCCAGGGAGAAAATGATGGGCTCTGCTGGGAACAGATTGCCATAACTACCGCTGTTTGTGAACAAGTGAGAGTCCCAGAGTACACAGGGAGACGCCATCAATTGATACTCAACTGGGAAAGCCTCTGCAGCCAAGATGGATCAGATAAGCCTTATACTGCATGACTGATGCAAGCTTGTGACTGTTTATGCCGCAGGAGCATCAGATAATGGCACGACTAGGACTTGATCCCTGGGCATTGGCCCAAGACTCCACAAACAAGTGTGTCTATGTGCCCTCAAGTCAGTGTTCTCTCTCGGCAACTACCTGAAATTTGCTCCCGCAGCTCCTTGGCAAGGCTTTTCAGAAATGGTTTGCCATTGGTTCCTTTGTAGGACTGAGAGAGAGCGACTGGCTTAAGGTCACCCAGCTGGCTTTGTGCTAAAACAGCGCTAGAACTCACAATCTCCTATTTCTGACCCAATGTCATAACGACTATACCACATTGACTCTCCCATAGGCAAAAAGGTCCTAAAATTCAGTGCCCTTCCATTAACAGCGTATTTTAGGTTTCAGGAAAACATTAAGTAATTAGCTTTTTCCTTCTGTTCTAGCATAGGGTTTTCTTTTGGAAAGGAAGGGAAGGTCCATAAATAAAATGCCTAGAAAAATGGGTGGCACAAAGTCTCTTGCCCAGACACTCTTAGCAGCGCAGTGCCAAGGAGCTTCAACATGGACCCACTGCCAGATAATTCATAACTATCCCTGTAGACTTCATCTTTGTACTACTAAAATTCTCATCACAGGCAAACCGGTGCATCATAGGGCAACAATTTTGAATCAAGGTACCTCAAATGAGCTAATTTACAAGAATTCCCCAAAATTACACACCCATAAGCTCTGCGAGAATGAAATGTGGGAAAGGTGTGGCTGTTTCAGTGTTACTGACTGCTGCTGTGGTCACATGATCTTCATTTTCAACATTTTGTTACAGTTTCCCAGCCAGTCTTGCAATTCCTCAATAAGGAAGCTGGCAGGAATTTGGAAGTCACTTCTGTTCCCATTCCTTTTTTGCCCGCCCTTAGTCATTCTGTTTCCCTGTTTAGGTAAGGAAATAGCTCTGAAACAATCACCTAATGGTGCGCAGGTTGTCATTTGCTAAAAACCTGACTTCCTTTATAAACTAACTGGTTGCTCCCCTGAAATTGGTGGAAGAGCTGGTAAAAATCATGAGGTTGGGAAGTGACATCACACCCCTGATAAATGAATTAATCACCATTGTTTTTGGAAGTTTTTATTGTATTTCATAAAGAATTACAACATTGGGTTCAATCTTTTATAGGTGGAGAGGATAAGGGTTATTTTTTCACTTTTCCCCATCTGTAGAGAATGGAAGGAATGTCCTTGAGGAAGAACCAGGGGTGGGATTCAAATTTTTTAACAACCGGTTCTGTGGGTGTGGCTTAGTTGGTGGGCATGGCTTGGTGGTCATGTGACTGGCTGGGCGTGGACAACTCAATATCACTCACATCGAGGCATGCATCTCCTCGCCTGGCCTCTCATGACTGTGGGGATGCTGCAACAGTCGTAAGTGTGAAAAATGGTCATAAGTCACTTTTTTCAGTGCCATTGTAACTTTGAATGGTCACTCCACACAAGCAAAGTACCAGCAAAGGAGGGGAAAAAAACTCCAGAGACATTCCTGTGACAGGAAGTCTAGTCCTGCCAAGAATGTAATAAGGGTTAATGGAGAGGCAGTTTCTGTAAGCAACACCAGAATATTTCCTTCCTGCCATCCTTACAGGATTAGGCCAGTAATTTCTTTTAACAACCGGTTCTCTGAACTGCTTAGAATGTTAACAACCGGTTCTAGCAAACAGGTGCGAACTGGTAGAATCCCACCCCTGGGAAGAACCGCTACCAAGTAAGAAGAGATTGGATAACCATTTGTCTGAAATGGTACAGGGTTTCCTGCCTGAGCAGGTGGTTGGACTAGAAGACCTCTAAGGTTCCTTTGAACTCTGTCATTCTGTTATTCTGTTAACAGTCAGATAAGTGGGGTTTGAGCCTAGACCAAGAAAATAACTTGAGAAAATGTTTTAGGGAAACCCCTCCCTAGTGATGGTTAAATGAGGAATGAGGAGGCACATTCAGACTTGCAAGATTCTATTATTACAGATAATCCTCAATTTATGACTGTCATGGAGCCTGGAATTTCTGTTACAACTCAGCATGATTGTAAGTTAATGCACTCATGTGACTGGACCTGACTTTACAGCTTTTTTTTTGTAGTGGTCATTAAGGGAATGCCACAGTTGTTAAGTGAATAAATGTATTCCTAAGGGCATTTTTGCTGGAAACTGGCCCCAAAAGCCAGAAATCAGTAAAA